AATTCAACTGGTTTCACCATTCACAGATGAAAAGGAATTTTGCCCAGGATTGACCATACCCAGAATATCATGTCTTATTTGGGTCATATTCAATGAGATTTTCAACTTAAACTTGGGGATGAAATGGACTAAGACTTTGGGGGATATTTTACAAGTGGCAAGGGTTTAAATTAGGGGGAGCAGTGGGTAGAATGTTAGGTTCCTCCCAGTACCTTAGAGTGTGATCTTATTTGGGAACAGTGTCCTTAGAGATGTAATTCATTAAGACGAGGTTAACCTGGAGAAAGTTGGGCCTTTAATCCATCAGATCAGCATCCTTTGTGAAAGGACGGATATGCACATGGAGATTTCACGTGAAGCAGGATTAGAGTGACATATCTGAAAACCAAGAAATCCTAGGGCTGCCAGAAGCTGGGAGAGGGAGATTCCTTCAAAGACTGCAGAAGGGGGCCAGCAGGTGGCATAGTTGGTTGGGGCACTGGACTCCCACATGGATGACTATGGTTCAAGTCCCAGATCCAGTGGCTTGTTTTCTCGCTTTCTCTCTCTCTCGTGAATAAATTAAAATAATGATGATGAATAAAATTAAATAATTCTAAAAAGAAAAAAGATCACAGAAAGAATCATGGAGCTGACACATTGATCTTGGACATGTAGTTCCCAGAACTGTGACATAAATGACTCTTGTTTCCAATGTAAATTTTCCTGATGACGAAGATCCTTGATTATTTGTTTCTCGATGCCTAAATCCTATGAGAAAGAAATCATTGTATCTGAACACATCAGTACTCCCAAACGCACAACATTTATTTTATCTGAAAATATGAATTTAAGTAAATAAATAAAAGGCTCACAATGTGAAAATTATTTCAGGGAGATGACTTGAGACCAAGCTGGTATTGAATACCTCCCTGCCGGCTTTGGTGAGCTTGATTTCACAGTGGAGGAGCTTTTCAGTGATTTTTCTGGATCTCCGAAAAAGGGACTTTTCCCATGAGTTGTGGCTGAATTGGTATATTCCTAGGGCGCAAAGTTCCCGACTCTGCCACTGTGCTAGTATCTCCAGGTCACTTACAATGTTTCTCACAAGTTATTGACTGTAGGGAAGTTATTTGATTCATGGTGTATAGACATTTCTTATTTTAAATGGCCTGAGAGTACTAGAAAGGCAGGAAACACAACCGGCTCATTTCAGAAACCTTTCTTTTGGGACAGACTGGACAAAAAAATCAAAGGTGCAAATAAAATAAAGATAAAGAGCTTGTAAAAACAGACTTCATGGGACCAGCAGTTGGCATAATGGCTATGCCACTGGACTCCCATGCAGTCGACCGTGGTCCAAGTCCCGGACCCGGTGGCTTAAATTCATGCTGGGTGCATGTGTGTGCGTGGCCAAGATCCCTAGAGGAGAATGGAGGAGAAGGGATTGTGGCCTGGCCATCTCCTCTGGGGGGTGATTTCTCACTTTCTGTCTCTGTCTCTCTCTGTCTTTCTGGCAAGCACATGCACCCTATAGCAAAAAAACTTATCCAAAGAAAAAGATTTCCGAAAATTTCCAAGTATTCTGAAATAGACTTAGTAATGGAATGAAGAGAAACTCACCCTGTTTCTTCACAAACAGGCTTATACATCAAGTAGGGAACTTACTATGGCAAAAATAAATTGCAATGGGAAATTATAATTAGAAAATCTCTGATATATAAGTGACTGAATATGTAGAAAGAGCTTTAAAAGTCATAAAACTGGAAATCAAAACAAACTTATAGCCTTTTCCATAGAAATTTGGCCCTCAATATAAAAAATAGGAGGTAAAGTTCTCCCACCATGGATTTGGACCCACATGGGTTTCTGAGCAGACGAGCAGAAGCACCAATGGCCTGCCATGATGAAATCACAGGACAACTGACCCAAATCTCCTCCGTGGTGTTGCTTTGACAAGAC